GGAGGAAGATGGGAGGGAGGGAGGGAAGATGGGAGAGAGGGAGGAAGATGAGAGGGAGGGAGGGAGGGAGGGAAGGAAGGAAAATGGGAGGGAGGCAGGCAGGAAGGAAGGAAAATGGGAGGGAGGGAGGGAAGAAGGAAGGATAGCAATAGCACTTAGACTTATATACTGCCTCACAGGGCTTTACAGCCCCCTCTAAGCGGTTCACAGAGTCAGCCTGTTCCCCCCTCTCCCAACAATTTTGGGATTATTGTCCCCGTCTTTTTATTCCCCCTGCTTCCCTTAAACATCCAGGGTGGAAGACAGCTGAAGGGGCTTACCGTCCCGTTCATTCTCACTTTCGGACAAGCTGCCGTAGTTGACCACCAAGGAGCTCAGGGCTGAGGTCAGCTGTTTGGGAACAATGCTAGTCTCCAGCGCTTGATCTTTGGACGTTCCCGCCTCTTTGTCGGATTCTGGGAAGAGATAAGACACGGCTTACCGACTGCTTGATCGGACACGCGAATGGTAAGCTAGCGAAGGCGACGTTTGGGAAAAAGGTAGGCGAGCTGGCCCCAGAAATAAAAGAGGGGAGAAGTAAAAACGCAGTGGTGTGAGAGCAGAAACTTTGGGGCTTTCTCTGGGAAGACTCAAGGGCCGGATGTGTTGTGGGAAGACGGCCCAATGAAACCAGGAACGAAGAGTTTCGAGATAGACCGGGCAAGGAATCTTCTCTGGGATCAAGTAGCCCGAGGGATCCCTTTGCTTCTCCAGCAAAACCACAGGATCTACGATACCCTCTGGAAATCATTCCCAGGCTTCTAAAAATGGTGTAAACCAGGACACAAGCGTTCTTGCAGGAATGAAGGATCTGATAACCAGCTTTGATAACAGGTGACCCTACGATGGATTAAAACGTTTAAAAAAAACACGAATAAAAATAAGAGTGTAGAATAACTTCTCTTTAAATACAGGGCAACCGTCGCGTTGGCTTTGCTTATAAATCTTATTAAATCAATCAGTCTTTACAAAGTAATATTAGCTTACTTAATATTAGCTTATTTAATACTTTTCCTTTAGATTTCCTTAACTGTAGCTGTGACATTTTCTCTTCTACAGGACAATCACCATCTGGTTTTTTTTTAGCTGTCAAACAGTTCTCCTGGTTTATCAAACCAATTATTCTTATCTTAAGCCAGGGGGTCTTCAAACGTGGCCCTTTTATGACTTGTGGACCTCAGCTCCCAGAATTCCTCAGCCAGCCTCCATTTTGTTTGTTAGATTTAAGACAGGGGTCTTCCAACTTGGCCCTTTTATGACTTGTGGACTTCATCTCCCAGAATTCCTCAGCCAGCCTCCATTTTGTTTGTTAGATTTAAGACGGGGCTCTTCAAACTTGGCCCTTTGATGACTCGTGGACTTCAGCTCCCAGAATTCCTCAGCCAG